GAGTCCTTTCCCTAAAATTCTCTTCCAAAGGCACCCTTCTCACAGCCGCCTCTCTCTCTCTCCCACTTTCTCCCGCTTATTACTTTCTTAGAGTATCCAGAATCTCAGACTCTGCTGCGTGTGTTTTGTAGCCCTTTTTTGAATGGGAGCGCTGATTCCATAGTGTCCATTCCCTTTGCTCAAAGCTGCTGTCAACGCGCTCACTCTTCAAATCCTTTCATGGCCAAGGTGCCCGGAATTCATCCCCCAAAATTCTTCCACAGGCACCCTGTCTCCTACCCGCTCTCTCTCTTCCCCCCCCCCCTCCCCGCCTCTCGTTCCTCTCTCCCTCTCTCTCTTTCTCTCTCTCTCTTTTTCTCTGCCACTTTTCCAGGTTACTACTTCGTTAAAGTACCCAGGAGCTCAAACTCTTCTTCTATGTTTTGCGACCTTCTTTCAAATGTGCTGATTCCACGGTGCCCACTCCACCAAAATCCATACATCAAGTCCTTTCACGACCAGAGTCCCAGAGTTCCTTCCCAAAATCCTCTTCTCTCTTACGCCGTCTCACAGTCGCTCCTCTCTCTCTCTCACTCTTTCCTCTCTCTCCCCCTCTCTCTTTCTCTCTCTCTCTGCCACTTTCTCCCGCTTACTACTTCGTCAGAGTAGGACTCTCCTGCTTGTGTTTTGTAGCCCTTTTTTGAATGGGAGCGCTGACTCCATGGTGTCCATTCCCTCTCCTCCAAAGCTAATGTCAACGCGCTCACTCTTCAAATCCTTTCACGCCCATGGTGCCCAGAGTTCCTTCCCCAACTCCTCTTATGTCGTACGCCCTGTCTCGCCTCTTTCTCTCTCTCTCCCTCTCTCTCTCCCCCCCCCCCACTCTCTCTCTCTCTCTCGTTTCTGTTTCTCTCCCTCCCCCTCTCTCTTCCTCTCTCTCTCCCACTTCCTCCCGCTTATTACTTCGTCAGAGTACCCAGAAGCTCAGACTCTCCTGGGTGTGTTTTGTGGCCCTTTTTTGAATGGGAGCGCTGATTCCATGGTGTCCATTCCCTTTGCTCAAAGCTGCTGTCAAAGCGCTCACTCTTCAAATCCTTTCACGTCCAAGGTACCCGGAAATCCTCCCCCAAAATTCTCTTCCGCAGGCACCCTGTCTCACAGTCGCCTCTCTCTCTCTCCCACTCTCTCTCCCTCGTTTCTGTTGCTCTCCCTCTCTCTCTCTCTCTGCCACTTTCTCCAGCTTATTACTTCGTCAGTACCCAGAAGTTCAAAATCTTCTTCATATGTTTTGTGACACTCTTTCAAAGGTGCTGATTCCACGGTGCCCACTCCACCAAAATCCATACCTCAAGTCCTTTCACGACCATGGTCCCAGAGTTCCTTCCCAAAATCCTCTTCTCTCCTACGCTCTGTCTCGCCTCTTTCTCTCTCTTTTTCTCTCTCTCCTTTCACTTTGTCAGAAAACTCGGGAGCTCAGACTCGTCTCCGTGGGTTTCGTGGCCTTTTATATGAGCGTTAGGTTTCAGGTGTCACCTCCTTTGTACCCAAAGCTGGTGTAGACAACTCATGCGAAAGGACCAAATTTCAATTGCCAGCCAAAATTGTCCTTCTCCAGATTCCCTGCTACGGACGGCCCTGTCATACAGTCTCCTCCTCCACTCCCCCCCCCCATATTATAGATTTCCCATGTTGGAGCCCATGCGCTTCTCCGTAAGTATCCTGGCCCTTTTTGAATCGGAGAACTAATTTCACGATGCCCATTCAACATCCCAGCTCAGGGTGCTCAAGGCTATTCCTCTCCCCCAAATTTTCTGCTGAGGGGGTGCCCTGTCACCCCTCCCCCCCAGATTCACTTCCTCACGGTTTCCCCATTGGAGCCCAGACTCTTTGCCCTGGGAAATAGCCAATGAACCCGAATTTGGTTCACCCAAAACTTTTTTGACGGGAGCGCTGAGTTCCACGGTGTCCATTCCTTTCCGCCCAAAACTGTAGCCAATGCGAAAACACTAAAATCACCACCTCCCCTCCCAAATGCTTCCACGACCAAGGTGTCAGGGTCCCTTTCCTCAAAAACCTCTTCTATCTTACGCCCTGTCTCACAGTCTCCTCTCTCTCTCATCTTTCCTCCCTCTCTCTCTCTCTCTGCCACTTTCTCCAGCTTATTACTTCGTCAGAGTACCCAGAAGTTCAAACTCTTCTTCGTATGTTTTGTGACCCTCTTTCAAAGGTGCTGATTCCACGGTGCCTACTCCACCAAAATCCATACCTCAAATCCTTTCACGGCCAAGGTGCCCAGAGTTCCTTCCCCAAAATCGTCGTCTGTCTTACGCCCTGTCTTACAGTCGCCTCTCTTTCTCTCTCTCTCTCTCTGCCACTCTCCCGCTTACTACTTCGTCAGAGTACCCAGGAGCTCAGACTCTCCTGGGTGTGTTTTGTAGCCCTTTTTTGAATGGGAGCGCTGAATTCATGGTGCCCATTCCCTTTGCTCAAAGCTGCTGTCAACGCGCTCACTCTTCAAATTCTTTCACGGCCAAGGTGCCCAGAGGTGCCACGCATCATTCCGAAGCGAGTTATGGGCTTTTTCCTGCGCAAATTTGTCATACTACTGACCATGGGAAAACTGCCTGTAGATATAAATCTGCAAGAAAAAGGTGCTGAGACATCGGAATAATACAAATCCAGTCTTTTCTCACTGAAAAGAAGCTTTTCGCAAGTGTACAGTCGAATAGATTTCTTAATATAGTGCCCCTTTTAGTTGTAACGAACGGCAATTATCAACGAATGAACGGATATCGAATAAGTGAATTCTGAAGATTTTTCGAACGAAAGAATATCGAATAATTTCGTTTCGGAAATTTTTCGAACGAACAAATATCGAATAATTGACTTTCGTAATATTCTCGAATGAGCGAATATTATTTGAGTTCCGATTTGCATATTACTTAAATTCGAATTTTCAAATACGGGCATCAAAAAATCGAACTTTCCAATATTCGAACCGAACTTGCTCGAACACTCGCCTATTCGAATAGATGAAAATACGATTATTCGAATGCAGCATTATTTGAATGCATTACTCGAATAATCGAATATTCGACCAATTGTTTCCCGAAACTTCTCGAACATTCGAACATTCGAATAATTGTCTTCTAAAATTCTTCATACACTCGAATATTCCGTATGTTCCGAATACTCCAATAAGGCGTTTTTCCAAGTAGTCGAATGAACGAATTACTCGGATACAGGCCTTTTTCATTTATTCGACTATTCGAATAATCGAATAAATGAGCTTCTTCGGATATTCGACAATTTGGATATTCGAATAGTCGAATATTACGAATAAATTATTCGAATGCGAATCTTCGGTTTGTCCCTGCAGACGCGACAACGCTTGTGCGCCAGCAATTGCTATTGCGAGTTTCAGCGAGTGTCTTCCAGTGTTATTTTTGCTTACTCTTTCCTTTTCAGGTAAGTCGTTGCTGATAAAAAAGAATAAGATACGTTAAAGCGTAGTTTCTTTTTCTAAGTAGCAAATTCATCCCTTATTCTCTATATACGTGGAAGCTACGCCCGTCAATTCCGAGACGAGATTGCAAGGTAGAGCGATGCACGAGGTAGAGACCGGAGTCGTTGCGGGACTCTGCGCTCACGACTGTGTCCGCTATACGCACTCTGGCTTTGCAAATCGATATTGCTGCGTGTGCGGCGTCCAGGCCTACCGTAAGATTCGGACCAGAGTCCAGAATTATGGGAGCAAATTTCAGACTTCGTAGACCCCTCTTTCACTCCGAACTTCAGTCATCGCTTAGGTAGGGGGTCTACTTTAACATCGCCACAAGAACCCGGCACCCGCCTTTTTGCCGGGACGCTGTCTTTAAAGGCTTCTCTTATGCCAAACTTGCTTGCAGCTTGGTTTTCAAGTGCTTTTCCAACGTGTTTTTCCAACGTCCATATTTTTTTTTCTGTGGGCCGTCACTTTCATTCTTGGCCATCATCAATAACCTTTGATTCAACTGGCTTGGCAAGATTAGGGCGTTTGTGATCTAATTGAGGCCGCTCGCGCCCGCGACGCACCTGCGCCTCTCTCGCGCGAGTGCTCTCTGATCATTATCTAGTCTTAACTAGGTCACGAAGCCCCGCCTTTGCCGATGCCAAGCCAGTTGAATCAAATGGTACAAAAACTCATGACTTCCTTCAGCAAAACGCTTCGCAGGTATGATAGAAGATATATGATCGGCTCCACGATTCGTGTAGGGACGGGTTTCCAATTAAAAGAACAAAATTGTTAAACCTCCACGTTATATATTTCTCATACTCCTTGCTGTCAAAAACCGACGTTTTGAGTTCCTACGACTCCGCCTCTATACGAATCTTGGAGCCGAAAATAAAGATCACCATTTGAGCTCTATTCAGAGATATGCATTCCCCTCCAACATGCCACTTCAACTAAGTGGCCTTCTCCTGTAAGGCAGCAACTAAAGCTTTGATTGTAAAAATAAACCTTCAGAAATTCAGAACCCACTCCACTTTTGTAAATTCATAGCTCACTCTGATTTCTGCTAATTATCCTTCCCAGAAGCGTCCGCGATTCACTTTTTTTAAACTTCTTTCTAATTAAAGTACAGGACATCAGGTCGCAGAGAGGAAAAAAAACCACGTTGACACCTGCAATGATCACGCGCCTTTCTGTATCCGCCGGCGTCAGCCGTCCGCATGGGTGGGGTCTATCGATGACCTTTATTCTCACCCCTGATCGACAACCATCACTAAAAACCGATCTGACAGTAGCTGGCGCAAATCTCAATCCAATGTTCCTTTAAATGCTCCAATCGTGGAAGAGTAACTGTCACCTGTTTTTTTTTTTGCTCCCAATTTTTCGAGTTTACGTCTGAACAACGACAAATCAGCCATATGACCTTCACTCCCCGACTCAAGTGCGTTCACTTTTATTTTGAGAGAAGTAATCTACGAAAAAACACAGTGTTAACAATCTTTATTCTTTTCAAATAATCAAAGAAGTATCATAAGTTGGAGTGGAGGATCTTCCTCTCGAGAACATATTGATTTGCTAGAGCACGCACCCATACTTTTGAAGGAGCCTCCAAAGTGGCAACTCCTGTAGAAAAAAATTACGGTCCGCGCATATTCTCCGATAGCCAAGAAATAAGTATAGGCTGCTGCATGACGAAGGCGCAGTATCTTCGGGCGCGAAGCGGCTTTAGCCGCAGAGCGCGTGAGGAGCAGGATTTACAATGGTGAAGATACGCGCGCGTCGCGTTCGCGCCCGCTCAGCTTATACTGCTTCTGCGCCTTCGTTATGCAATAGCCTTGAGTAAGCTGCGGGTTGTAAGACGCACTCCAACAAAAGTTGATAGAAGGCATCTATGAATCTATTGTGAGGAGGATGCTGATGCTACATCCAACCACTTTGCAAAAAGGAAGAAACAAAAAAAGAAAAAAAGGAAAACGCTTTGATTTTTTGCGAAGTTATCGCTTGTATGACACTGAGTACGTCCCCTCCACAGTTGCTGCTATCCTTGGTCTGCGTCTCAAAGGCAACGTTGGCAACATGTTCGCAACATGCTACAACATGTTGGCAAAACATTTTGGCCACGCCAACATGTTGTGGCATGTTGCAAACATGTTGTTGCCATGTTGTCAACATGTTAGCCACGGTCATGGCAGGTCGTGTTAGCCATGGCAGATCTGTGACGCAGACCAAGGGTAGCAGCATATGGAGCGTACGATATGATCGGTTTCTTCAGGAATGTTTCCATAGGTACCACGTCAGCTCGCTGCCTTTCGACTGTTTTGACACTTTCACTTGACAAAATGCCATGAACTTGCTGAAGCTAACATGTTGAAAAGAGCGAAAGGCAGCGGGTTGACATGGTACCTATGGGAACATTTCTAGGGAACAGACGATACCTACGCTGACCCGTGACGACTCGTTGCTGCTTGGCGAAACCTGTTGCGCCACTGTATCTCCATCACAGATCGTCAGACGGAATAATTTCTTCCAAGAAGTATCTCCAGAAGGCTGTGGGCTTTTCTGTCATCCAGAATCTAGAAAAAGGAATAGGTCAAATTTCTGAATCAGCGATGTTGAATTTGAGGTGAAACATTGATTTCAAGTGAAATAATCTCGATTTTTATCAATTCACAATCTAGCTTTTGATTCTATGGAATTGGCTGCTAGAAGGCGGGGTTTTGGGGCCTAATCTAGGCTAGGGAATGATCAGAGAGCAAGAAAGACGCAGCGTCGGGTGCGAGCGGTGGCCATCCAACCTCCAATCCCGTTAAATCGAAGGGTAACAATAAACACCATGATCATTGTCATGCACACAATACTCGGAAATGATTTTCAAGACAAATCAGTTCATTGATATATAGCATTTATATTATCCGCGCAGGCATTTTCTCCACTCCCACAGCAAGAAGAGAAAGGCAGTGAGCCCTTGCTGCATCAATGCAACAAATTTTCTTGTTAGCAGTTGGGAAGCATGATTCGATGATCAAGCGGGAGCAAAAAGCTGTTTCGTCTCTGAAAAAAGAAGTGAATTGGCAATTGTGGGCAAGCTTCCTATTTTTCATACTTTAAACTCTAAAAAAGGCCAAAATTGCCTTTTTTACATCAACGCTTCTTCTAATGCTATGCGTAGCTTCTCTCATCCATCATGATCACTCGAGGCTTGCTGTCTACGTGGAATTAATCATGTCGGTTGCCATAAAACGACATATATTCGCATATCATGAATTATCTTGAAGCTCTTCCAGAGCACAATCGTACCAACCCAAAGAATATGTATAGAAGTTGGGTTCGATTACTGTAAGCATGTTTTCTTAGTGAACGAACCCACCTTGCTTTCTTCTATAGCAAGACGCTTTGACGCTACAGATTCTGTAATGACGAACCATGGCACTCAAAGCAATTTGTAAATCACGCACGATTGCCTAGAAAAGCGTCCTTATTCGGAAAGTTGCTATGAGAATAAATGCAGTAAAACCATGAAAACGGTTTGACTGCAAAACGAAAAACTTGAAATTCTGCCTTTCTCAACACTTCATTCTACAATGTCGACCGCGTGTCCTAAAGTTGGGAACATTTAGCAATTTTTGAAGAAAGCTAGAAAGGATGCTGGGTAGCCGTCAGTTGAAGTACCCAAAACTGTAGTAGAAAAATTCAACCTTTTTGATGTGAATTGGGACTAATTTCATGGAAGCAAGACATACAACTGAAGGCATCGTCCAAGCAAATATGGACATATGGTGCTCCCACGTGAATCGTAATTTGGGGCCCTTCTATACATGATTTCTTTGGGTTGATACGATTGTGCTCAAACGGCAGCTCAGGTAATGCTCTAACGGCTGGAATATTCGCCTCGAAACTCGACGCCGGGAACTATATTTTGCATGGTTGCGCGAAATTGATGGATTGCGCCATAAATCCATTTCAGATACTATCCCGTGGTCCGTTCCGAGGTGAATATCTCCCGTTAGTGCACTAGTTGAGCTGCCGGTTGGGCAGTAGCTTAGTTAGGGCCCCAAAAAGTCCACGTGAGAGCTCCATAGTCCAATTTGCATGGACGCTGTCTTTACGTACGCTTACATGAGAGCTCGAACAACGTAAACACCTGGAAGCTCAAAATTCAGGGCACAATGCTTGTATAAAATAGGAATTATGGGTAGAATACTATATATTCAATTTTTAAAAGATTCTCTGCCCCCGCAATCTACAGATGCTCTTTGTTGATCGGTGATGGGGTCAATAACGGATTCGGTTAGGATACTGCGGATCTACATGCGGCACTCCTCGAGATAGCCAAACTAGCTTAGCCTACCTCAAGTGCTTCCGACTCAACGAAAAGCATTTGTGTTGCCCGGCGACACCAGCCAAAACGACTAACGGTCAAAAAAGGATGCACTAATTTGATGACGTTAGCACTGTAACTCGATCAATTATCCAACTGATTATTCAGAGAACAGAGAGACTTCTCTAACATAACGTCTCTAACTTGCAAAGTGAACTTGGGCGCTAGCAAATCTTGGATAAGAGCGAGAGCTAGAGCTATCTCATGCTGATTCCCATAAATTCACAAAGAATTATGGACTGTGATGGGTAACGGAGGAGGGAAGACGAGCAGAAATTACAGACTTTTCGAAACTGACGATACTTTTCGAAAGAACTGATACCGTTCGCAATAATCATGCGTACCGCATGCATGAGGCTCCCAGGGAAATCAAAAACAGATCGCAAACAGTACAAACCGACACAGAGGTGAAAAGCTCCGGCTTTTACCTTCCTGGAAACGTTGAAAATCTCTCTTTGTCAGGCTTTACAAGTATGTGTCCGTGATAGCTGTGACCGATGGTTGATGACCGTAATCGCTACATGTCCTCTACACTGACTGCTAAGGCAATCAGTTCGGTACTATTCCAGAATACGCAACCAGAAATGCAAAATCTCGGATTCTGCTGAAACCTGGCATACAGGAGTTACTCGACATGCTGATCACGAAAATGGTATTCATTTTGCATGAAAAGACCATTTTTGTGGGGTTACGGTAGGTATACGGTGTGGGGTCAAAACCATAGATTTGGCTGAACCCAATAACTTCGTTAGACGTCGTTCAGCTATGGGTTGTAGGATTATAAGTTCTGACACTCTTTTCACTTCAAACTTTCTTTCTTTTTACATGACAAGCTGCGGTCGCTGCGGCCGTGCGGTAGCTGCAGTCAGCTGCAGTCAATGCAGTCAGCTGCGGCCAGCTGCTTCAGCGCGGCAGTATGAAACAACCCCGTAGTGCACAGCCTCGAACAGGCAATGATTCTGAAAATGGCAAATAGCAATTGATTAACCGCAAGTAAACAACCACATCCAGATGAAAGAAATGTCCTGTCAAGTCCAGGAGGTGCACTCTCCCGACTTGAATCCTTCACCCTGATTGTCTTACTTTATATGAACATAACATTTATGACTAGAATCTTTATTATATATATGTAAGGTTAGAAGAGGGGAAGGGTAACCGCCGGTCACCCGGTTACTTTATTATATATATGTAAGGTTAGAAGAGGGGAAGGGTAACCGCCGGTCACCCGGTTAGACACAGCTCATCTGGAGTTGCTGGGCACCGCCCAGTTGGCGTGGGAACTGTCGGACCATCAAATTAGTCTGCGTCTCGACATGTCCATTCCATAGTAAAGCTCGTCCCGAGCTTTCATCCTTGACCATGGCTTAGGAGTGGGGATATTGTCGTCATCAAAGCTGCCCATGTACCATTTGTTTCATCACTGTTTCGTTTGAGAGGAGAAGGGTGCTGCTGCTACCATAATCGTCATCAAGGTTGCCCATTTACCATTTGTTGTCCTGACTGCGGGCAGGAAAAGTGCTGTTGATCGCATCATTGCTCAGTCGCTTGATTCGCTTCGAATGCATGTGGACAGGGGGAAAAGGCTCATAAAAAGGGAGCGGCTTTCGCACGCCCTGTCAAAAGAAGAGCTCGTCTCGAGCTGAAGATTAAGCTGAGCAAAATAAGCTTGGAAGTTGGATAATTATCAAACTGGTGTGCGAGTAAGGTCTCCGCAATTGTTCGGAGAGGCGGATGGAAGCGATGATGATGATGTCAATACAGCGTGGATAGGTGGGCTCTGTTCGATGAAGGAACGAAGGTTGCAATGCTTGGGATGAGGATAAAACAAGGTAGGAGCGGCAGAGCTCAAATGTTGAAATGGAATATGTTTGAAAGTTTTGATGTGTGGCGATGGGTTATCGTGAAATTAAAATCGTGAACAAATACAGCATGAAAAAAAACACGCAACCAATTCAAATGCAAATCAAAATTGCTACTATGACAGAATGTTCAAAATTTTGTGGTTTCGAAGATTCGTCGTTACAGTGCTAAGTAAGATTATGATGACAACAAAAAAAAATTTTTTCAGTGCGGAAACTAACATGTGGGCAACTCAAGAGGAAACACTTCCCTAACGTTGCCCACAAGGGCGTGGTTGAATTTGGATGACTAAAAGGCTTCTTCGAGCCGCCCGTCGAAGAAGTCTTTCTTGTATAGTGCGAAGCTTGCGGCAAACTTACCCTTTACCAGTAGCCGCTGCAACAGTGAGATTAGTGAAGAATTGTTAGGTTTGCTACTGATAATGGTAGTTTCTGTCTTTCTCAGATGCTCTGAACATCTGAGTATAGGTTGAAACACGAAATCGAATAAAAACCGTATGTAGTACAATGGTGAAACTATGTAGTACAATATGAACACACTTGGAAGGGGGGACACATATAAATAAGATGAGACGAAAATTTCTACGGAGCAGCTATTTCGAGAGAAATCAAGTCGGAAACAAAAAAAAACTACAGTTTCTGTACAATTTCTTCTTCGCGTTCCATTTTGTTTCTTAGCCTCGCTTCTGCGTATCTAAAACTGTCTCGAGTGCACTAATCGCGCCATCGTATGCCATATAGGTATAGGGACATGATTTTGCAAACTAAATAGATTGCCGTAAATGTGCCACTGCTAAAACCTAATGTTTTTGCAATAAGAGCAGCTTCATTCAGCAAGGATTTTTTTTTTGCTTACGTTGTACTCATTTGAACTGTTGGACCCAAAAAATCCCCAAAAAAATTGATTGTGCTCTAATCAAGAGATGAAGCGTTGAAATTCACAGTTTTCTCCATTATTAAATTTGCGGAAGTCAATCTAAAATCGTGCTGAAATGATTTGATAACGAGTTCAGTTTGGTTTCAGCAAATCACAATTTATCTCATTGGCTGTTTCAGCTTCTACTTTTACTTTTATAGGAGTGCGGTTTTTTTTCAACATAAATCTAGAAATACTAAACCGTTAAACTTGTTCTGATTTCAAGAAATGGTATGCTAAAATGATATTTCATTGATTGTTTTGCTCCATTGGATTTTACGAAACTCAGGCAGACTGAGAATACAAAAAAAAGTGAACCGAGTTATCTCATAAATCGCATCGGCTATCAGCTACATTTAAGCGTTGAAATTAATGGTCTTGATCTACATTAGAGAATGCATTTTCATCTTTTAGATGTCAGAGAGACGCAATTTTTTCAAACTGCTTCTTATTCAGCGCACCGTAAAAATGTTATTTTATTCATTTTTTGCTTTTTTTTGAAGGTTATTGTTACTAAACTTACTGTTAACTTTTTTAATGCACACTCAAAGTTGATGTGATTGGAAGGCAAAAATAAGCCTCTGATTTTCCTCAACTTTTCGCTATTAGAAATCAAACATTGATTTTGATGAAAAGTGTGGGTCCGAAACGAGCTGAGACTTGACGTTGCTTCGAAAATGAAACTTGAGCAAGGAAGTTGAGAGATTGTTCGAAACGTCAAGATTTTAGCAACTCATATTGATAAGTTCTTTCATGAACAATGAGGAGCGGTTTGAAATTCTATTTATAATTTGCTACAAAACATACGAGTTTTTGGAAAATTTTTTTTGAAAACTAGATCGCTGATCTGCACTGAAACATAAAACTACTATTTTTTCCGAACTCAGATTTGCTTAGCGAATGGCAAGCTGCTTCGTGAAGCGACCATACTGAGGGCTAAGATTTAAAGATAAGATGAGGCTAAGATGTAAATTCTATCAAATGAGATGCAGAAAACTAATTTTACTAGACTCTTGGTTACGGTCAGCTCAGTCGACAAGACAAAACTTTGAACCTGAACGCACTATTTTTTTTAACAGAAAGGAACATTATCTAATTATGGAGCTTTACTTAAGTGAGAAGTTGAAATAGTTGGAAACTGGAGCAGACAACTGCTTTTTTTTGGACAAGTAATTCTACAAGTAAGGAGGTTACAGTAGTGCCTGACAAGAATGCAAAAGCCGATCTTCTAAGGATCTTGGCAGGTTTTTCTAAAGTCATTTTGCAGTTGTACATACGTGATTTTTCAGGAAACTTTTTTTTGAAGATTATTACAAATATTTTTTTTGAAGGTTTTGAGTAAATCAATCAACCACATCAAAATAAGAGTTTCATATAGTCTCAATTTCGGGAACTCTTTGAAACTCATGGTATTCTCTGAAAATACCATTTTTTTTTGGAATGAAGACTCATTTTTGGTAGGTTTGCCTCAATTCTCTTGGCAGACCAACCACGAATTCACGGTTTAGCAAATTTGCTGATCATCGCGATTCATGAGCTTCCTTTTTTTTCAAATCCAATCTAAAGTCGTGCTGATATGTCAATTTGAGGTGGTTGAAAGCAAGTCTAGTGCAATACTCTTCTTCCACTGTTTCCCAAAGACTCAGCGGTGATGCTTTACGTTGAATTTACTTTGGTTTTTTTTTTGATCTCGAAACCGTTATATGCAAGGAGACGAAACAAAAAAAGTAAATAAAGGCTAAGAAAAATTGATAATTGATGCGTATACCTTGGTTGGTTGACAAATCCTCAGGTCATCAAAATACCTTCTCTTTGACTTGAAGTCGATGGCAGTGGTTGATGGTTGCGTGTTCCTTGGTTGCTCGTTGACAAATCCTCAGGTTAGCAAAATACCTTCACAATTGCCATATACCTCTGGCCCAGACATTCGTCGATGGGATACGAGGTTCAAAGGGCATTGCCGCTGCATGTGCCTATTTCTGGCGGCTAAATATCACTCGTAGTTGAGTGATTAGCCATAAAAAAATAAGCGCTGGGAGAGTAGCCTTTGGAGTGACCGCGGGCGATTGGGTAGCCGTTGAGATTTCTACAGGCAATCATAAAAACGGTCAGTGAAAATCCTTTCAGGCAAAAGTTAATCACAGTACTTTTTCTACGTGTAAAAACTTTATTTGGTGGGGCTCACAGTGCTTTTTCCACTTGCGAGAGTCAAAGAAGTACTACCACAGTGGTCTTTCCACTAGTGACAGTTGAAAAGGCAAAAAAAAAATTTGGTTCAGTGCTTTTTCCACGTGTGAAGACCTATTTACATATGTACAATGCCGGCTGTGGCGATAGAGTCATTGAGTTTTGTATGTGCGCGTAAAAAATATCTGGGGGAAAAATTCCCAGTTGAAAAGAAAGGAAAAAATAAAGAAAAATATCAATGATTCACGGCTCCGGGATATCACGGCTCTAGGAAATCACGGCTCGCGGAATTCACGGCTCGCGGATTCTCAATCTAGAGAGTTGGACTCATCTAGAAAGATCGCGTCGGGAAAATCACGGTTCGCTTTTTCACGGCTCGGGGGATCACGGCTCGGAAATAGCAAGAAAAAATTATTGAATATCAATAAATAGGAAATGTTAATTTGAGTGAGTTTACCATATGAATACAAACTCAAACTCATCGCCTGACTCAAAAATAAGGAAGAAAATGAGAAAATGAGATAAGAAAGGAAAAAATAGAAAAAAATAGCTACGTAGAGACGTAGGAGATGAGGGCTGGTGCCGGCGGTGGGAGTTTGCAAAAGATTTGGCCAAAATCTATGCTGATTTGATTCTTTTCAATTTTTTTTTTTGAAAAAGAAAATTTTTTTTTGATATGAAAAAATGATCAAAGAAGATTGATTCAAGAAAAATGTGAGTCATAAAAAGAAAACAACCCGGGACCTCCATGTCAAGTCCAGGAGGTGCACTCTCCCGACTTGAATCCTTCACCCTGATTGTCTTACTTTATATGAACATAACATTTATGACTAGAATCTTTATTATATATATGTAAGGTTAGAAGAGGGGAAGGGTAACCGCCGGTCACCCGGTTAGACACAGCTCATCTGGAGTTGCTGGGCACCGCCCAGTTGGCGTGGGAACTGTCGGACCATCAAATTAGTCTGCGTCTCGACAGTCCCACTAATCTTTCTGTTGCCCCACATGCGAAACTTTCTGTTTTGCTCATAATAACCTGATCAACTGATAATCTTATAAATAACCAACACTGAGCTTTCGCTGCATATCCTCCATGCTGCTTGCTAGGGCAGTTTTCTAAAGGCAGTGTTTCCGCAGAATTTCGTTTTCCAGTTTTTCACCTTTTCGGAGCTTTCCAGGGTCCATATCTGGGCTTTTCAGCGTATGGAAATGGCGAAAATGAGCTTTTCTCGAAGCTTTCCAGGTCCGCATTCACTGAATATACGCCCGAAGTCCTCCGCCTCTCTGGGTTCCGGGTCCCGCCCCGCACGTATTCTTCACTGAATGAGGATCTGGAACTTTGGAAAAGCTCATTTTCGCCATTTTCACGCGCTAAACCCAGGTATGGGTTCCTGATGGCGAAAGTGCTCCGAAAGGGTGAAAAACTGAAAAACGAAATCTTGTCAAGACACTGCCTTCAAACTTGCCGCTGTCATCGTCGCCATTATTTGATATAGTTTTTGTGTAGCGAAGGAAAAAGCGATATTCTCCAGCAAGCAGACCTGAGCGACTAACCTATGATCTTCAGCAGTCCAACCATCTGCAATTCTTTTCGTCACCGAAATGCCACCTTCACGATCCCGACAAATGTCTCGGAATCCCTTATCTCTCCCATTAGGTTATGCCACGCCCCCCAACCTAAACACGTTAATTATTCTATATTCAAAATTACGTGTAAAACCTATTTGAAGTCTCAAAAAATCATAGCGAATTTTTCGCGTCGTGCAGCACTTCTGTGCTAACTGGATCAAATTTGCACTGGCTTTCAGGAAGGCCAGCACATCGCGTATTCCTGCTAAGATTGCTCCAGATAAGTCCAACTACCACAGTTCCGCTGGTTGACATCATATCACTGCATCTTGCAGTATGCTCCTGCAATCATGTCTATTCGTCATCTTCCTTCTGCATTCTCAGAAGGAAGACGACGAATGGACATGATTGCATGTACTAATGTTTTGTAAACATAAGCAAGCACTTTTTGTGTGTATCCACGCAATAATGCGCAGTCGTGTTTTCATGAGCAGTCCTATCCTTGTCACGGTCTTTCTCAATCTTCAGATCACTAATACGCAGTCGCACAAGCTCTAAGTAGAAAGTTAAAAGACGTTACAAAGTGAAAGGCAATATGTACCTCAATAAGTGTACATGATATGTCACTGAGGTAATAGTGTCACCGCAAGGGAAGACGAGTTAGATTTTATTCATATGGTGATTTTCATTTAAAAAACCATGTAAAGCAAACAACGACAACTAACAAAGCACACCTGTCTCGCTTCTGTTTTTCTCTTTCCTCTCATTCTCTGTACTCTTCTCTGTTCTCCTTCCGTTCGAAATTGGTCTTCCTTACTGGACTGTCGACCGTACCGGACAATGATCTAAATCAAAACATTCACTCCTGATCTGAGTCCTCAAGGCAGACATTACGCTGCCCAAAGCCGGGGTGCCTATGCCAATCTTCCTCCTTCCTAGAAGAGAGAAAGAGAGAAAAAAAGAAAGAAGAGAAAGAGAGAGAAAGAAAGAAAGAAAGAGGAAGAGAGAAAGAAAGAAAGAAAGAAAGGGAGAGGGAATGGAAGGAAGAAAAAAGAAAGAGAGAGAGGGGGAATGTGAGAAAGAAAGAAAGAAAGAAACAGAGAGAGAGAGAGAGAGAGAGAGAGGAGAGAGAGAGAGCCTGCACGTGGTCGATGTTGTGATGGAGTGAACAGGGGTTCATCTTCGCGTGACATTAAAATTCCAGAAGCCATATATCATACACATTTTTCAAAAGAAACTTGGCTTACAAGCATAGATAGATAAACATCTCATCGCAGGCATCATTCCCAAGCATAAGCTTCAGGAACTGGTTCTATTGAAGGTTTTGTTCTCGGCTATTTTCGCTTATTTTTTTCGTTACAAGCGTTGCTTCCCTTCAACGGGATACTGATGTCGCTTGTAAAGATGAGAAAAACTAAAAATATTCAAAAGAAACCAGAACCGCAGGTTGCAATCGGTAAAAGTAGATTCTGCCACAACCAAAATGGAGCAAAAATTTTTGCGTACTCTATCCTACTGCGTACAAAATAAGCACACAATGCCTTCAAACAGTTGATCTATCTTATATATAAAGGTCAATGTCTGTCTGTCTGTCTGTCTGTCTGTCTGTATGTCTGTCTGTCTGTACGTATGTTCCGAATAGAAAATTCCATTTCTGAACCGATCCGGACCAAACTTGGCACACATACACTACGGGCCCCGGCGGGTGTCATAGGCTACTTTTCGTCATCGATCGATAACGAAAAGTGGACTGTAACACCCGCCGGGGCCCGAAGTGTATGTGTGCCAAGTTTGGTCCGGATCGGTTAAGAAATGGAATTTTCTATTCGGAACATACGGCGGAGCCGAGTAAGCCAGCTAGTCTATAATAAAGTGCGCACAATCTTGCTCAGTCTATAGTCATTTACTCCCACTCTAGCACAGACTACATTTTGATTCAGCAGGATTGGCGGCTGGAAGGCGACCGCTCGCATTCGCAGCGTAGTCTGAGACTACAACGCGCTGTAGCTGCTTCGAATGCTCGACTTGAATAATCAATTCAATAGCGCACGAAATGCAGGAACTTGTGTTTGAGTATTGCTATTCTAGAGATGGGTCAAAAAGTGATTAAAACAATTCGTCCAAAACTTTGCTGGAGATCGAAATGGGAGATCGGAGCCTACCGCTTGATTCAACTGGCTAGGCTTCTGGAAGGCGGAGCTTCGTGACCTAATTAAGGCTAGGTAATGATCAGAGAGCACTCGCGCGAGAGAGACGCAGATGCGTCGCGGGTGCGAGCGGCTTATTAGTTCAGAAAGCCCCGCCTTCCAGAACAAGCCAGTTGAATCAAAAGTTACGTCAACATGCAACTTGCGTGCACTACCTATCCGAATAGTCTGCAGGTTCAAAGGCCTACGCTAATGTTTCTTGAATATTTTCTTGCTCTGCTCTGAAGATAAATTTCAAGGCACATGCCATAGTTGCCCACTTGATCCGTATGATCCACTTCGTTATAATGCCGTGAGTAATTTGTCATATGGGATCGCGTACAGCAATTTGCGTGGAGACGCAATTCTTTTCTCTAAGCGACAATAAATGACAGATGACTTACGAGGCGTTCCATAAAGTGTATCAAGTGGATCAAGTGGATCAAATATTGTGCCTAACATGACTACGAAGAATGGAAGAATAGGAAATCTAAGTTAAAAACCAAAAAATATGATAGTGGTACAATGCATTTGGGCTCACGAAGCAATATCGAAAGATCTGAAGTTCGCTATGTGGCCCGACAGCGGAAATGGATGGAAATCATTGCTAGCATGGACCGAGTTTTCCACTGCATAAATCAAACCTCCACCGACAACGGCAACGCCAGCAGCCACAGCTCCGAACTTCTAGAAAACAAAGCAGTGAGATTTCGAAACAGCTTATTACAAAATGTTCCAGGAAACAAAGACATTCCAAAATTGCGTTGATCATTCTTATCTCTTTCAACCCAGCGTGCTTCACAGCTCCTCTTGCGACAAGAAACGCAAGCGAGAATGGATAGCGTGTGGTGAGCGTCCAGTTCGCTTCAAAAGACCACCTTAACTATTGAGGGAAGAATTGATTTGCTATAGGTCTCACATGCATTCAAGATCCTTCTTTCCGAACGAAAAAGCTGTTTGATATTTGTAAAAACCAATGAAGGAAGTAGAGTGAAAGCTAGTTGCTAATGAAAGGGGCGACCATCAAGCAAGGCGCGCGCGGGAGTACGAACTGCAAGGATGAAAATGCGCGAAGGTGGCGTTTCGCACCACTTTGCCATGATCCGACTGCCTGCGCAGCGATCAACCTTTACTTAACGCATTCACCAAACGTGTGAGAAATGGATGTGAGACTACAAGGATTCTACCACTAAGGCCCGTATGCACGTACATCCCCGCTGGGGAGGGGAGGGGATCTGAGAGGGGATGCGTCATATCTCGCTACTTTACGTATCTTTCTTCTTCCTTTTCTATCTTGCTTATGAAGGTTCTCATATCCTGCTACCTGCGCATAATTGATGCCAGGTTACTGGCATAACTGATTAGATTTGTACTACTTTGTGTGATCCCCTGGGGATCCCCTGAGGATCCCCTGGGGATCCCCTGGGGATCCCCAGGGGATCACACAAAATAGTACAAATCTAATCACTTATGCCAGTAACCTGGCATCGATTATACGCAGGTAGTAGGGTATCAGAACCTTCATAAGCAAGATAGAAAAGGAAGAAGAAAGATGCGAAAAGTAGCGAGATATGACGCATCCCCTCTCAGATCCCCTCCCCTTCCCAGCGGGGATGTACGTGCATACGGTCCTAAGACTCGGCACGGTGATTCTGCATTGGAGCTAATATCAAATCGATCCACACGCTACAGAAGTCAGGAAGTCATTGCACTTTATATGTTTATCGATTGTTAGAAATTCGTAGGGCTCTCTCCGATTTATAAGTTCGGGACCGGCCTTACTATTCCAGGAAGTGATTCCTGCGATTCCTGCATTCATCGATTTCCGATGTGCCGCACTATGGAGCACTTTGTGAAGTTCAGTATACAATGATTTTTTTCGCAATATACATTGTTGTGAAACTCGCGGAATCTCAGGAATGGCAGGAATTGCAGGAATCACAGCAATAGTATGGCCGGTTCCATATCTCAGAAAGGAAAAAAAGCAGATAACAGAACATACCAAAGGTGAGATCGAACGTCGTTGAATTTTAAACCCCATCTTCTGCAAGTTCTTCTCGAAATAGTATCACCTATTCTGTTTTTTCTCTAGCTCACTAAAGGCAGACTGTTGCGTACCCTTGTCCTACAAAAAAGAATTTTTTGCAGAATGCGATCTCAAAGAAATATGATTTTCGATGAGCATACGCTCACACCTTCGTCTTCATCTTCATCTATATTTTCTTCAGCATAAGATGGAGAATCGCTTTTATCGCTACCACTGATACCTTCTTCGTAGGCTAACACATGATCGACCTACAAATATGACCGAATTCAAAAGTAACTAACTTGATGCAGTCAAGAGGTTGGGAATTTCAGTACATTTGTATAGCTGACTAATTATAGAGCAGCCCTTTTGAGAGCATTCATGCCCTTTACTCATCTCTCTGCCATCATCTCTTAGCGTCTGTAAAATTCGATATCAAAGATTCAAAGATATTATGTATAAAGAGGACCATACCTGACGCAGAGCGTATGCAGCACTACTATAAACACCCTGAGCGATCAATCGTTTGATTCCAAATCGATAGTGATTGCGCACTCTTGACGCAAATGTGGACTGTCGTAATGAGCTCGTGTAAGCAAATCATACACCATTTGAGATCGCTCCGAATGCGAAAAAAGGATATCTGGCCGACTCCTGTTTACAAATCTGCAAAAGGTAATCCACTAACATTGAAAGTGAATGAAGTGTACATAAGCGTTGCTTTGACTCACTGTCTCCGCCTATCCTAGAATAGAGTGCAGTAAAAAAATCTGGTTCCTCCAGATTTTCTTTGTTTTCGCATCATACTCAAAAATACCAATTCGAGAAAATAAACTATCAAGGAAGCCAGGAAGTGACGTCCGATTCTGAAAGACCAGTCACAAATCAACTTCTTTGAGCAAACCTGAATGATTCATATAACTCGTCTAGGTGCACACGAAATACATGAGCCAAGGCGGAACTGGCAAAAACTCAAGAAAAAAATTTGGTAAGACAAACGGAAGTGAGAATTTGATCTCTAATCCTCTCCTATAATATAAACCCGATCCCAAAAAACGAGACGGCGAGGATGGTCCGCCCACATGTATGCTTCAACGGGTGTTTTGAATAGACGCCAGTTGCCGAACGGGGCCTTATTGTGTAGAGACGCGACGGTGCGATCATGAGGTCAAGAGGACGCAGAGGTCCTAGCGCGAACGAGAGGCCACGACACGCAGGGTACGCTCTGCTGCTGCAATGGGTCTCAGACACTCGCGGTTGACTCGCGCAGGGCAAAACGAGGTGTAGCCATTGAATGCGTGGGCGACTCGCGAAATCGGTGTCGCGGCAAAATCAGGACACCTGATTTTGTGTCGCGGCAAAAGTGCGCGACAAAATCGGCGCAAAATGGGGAGACCTGCGCGAGACACCAAAATGTCGCGATCGCGTTCAGAGCACGCGGCCTACGCCCTTACTGAAAGCTTTTTGCGTCCTCTAAGCCCTCTCTCACGCCTTCCTTTTGACTTACCTTGAGTCCTTGGTCACGTTGGGTCCCATTTCTTATGCTTGTAAGTTTTCTGCTAATAAAACACATTCTTCGTCGTGAAATTTATTAACAAACACACACGATCTTCTCGAGCAGGCTTTACATTAACAACCTTATGAGACACACAGACAGACAGCAAGTATGAAATTCGAAGCACCACAATTACGACATAAGGTTACGAAACAACTACAACAAAAAATGTAGACAAATCATCAGGCTTCCTCGATGTCTTCGATTTCATCCTCTGCGCATTCAGTCTTCTGAACCACCAGGTCTTCCTGAGGATACCGGTGCTCCTGCCTTCAGTGTCTTCGATGACGACACCTTTTTTCTGAAAAACAAGAACTACTGATACCAGGATCACATAAAATAGATGAATTACCTTTGATGGAAGAAGAGCGGATCTTTCAGGATCAAAATGATATGTTCGGATGTCTGCCCTGCAAAATTATATTCAGAAGTATGTACTGCTTCTTCCGCATGAGAAAACTCACAAGGCCCTCCCTATTGCTATCCTTGCTTGACCGCTCCATACAACTCTTTTCTCTGACAGGCGTTAAATAATTTTTCGCTACCGTCATTATCTTCTGCTAATGACAACCACCACCTAAATTCCAGTGTACATAAAGGTCTTCCGGGGACATACATACCTATTTGGATTCCGCTTATGCTCATCTGGCGTCCGTAAAAGTTCGCCGCGGTACAGGCCGAGAGCGTCACGGATGAAACCTAAATCAGTTACTAAAAGTAATGTACTGAATACTCATCGACCCACTTATTAGGAAATCGACCAATCCTTCTGGAAGGTCTTTAAGATGATCAAATTTTCCCTTCTTTCCGCTCTGTCTACAGGCGTAGTTTTGTATTTCCGTTGAAGGTTCGCAGGCCTAAACGGTGATTACAAGACAACCGTATCATCTTCATCTATTTGTCGCTTACATTTAGAAAGAGGGGCGCAAAAAGTCGAGGACCAACAGGAAATGGTCATGCTTATGAGCGCGTTTTGGTCTCTGCCACTTTTCCACGACTTCGATCATATTCATCTCCTAAAGACAATACTTTTTCCTGTCGACTGAGAATAATCTAAAGATGACCTTGAAGGGTGGTGCACTTTCAAGATGCCAGACCCTGGATAGATTACTTCTTTTTAGTGAATAACCCTTTGGCAACGATTTCTCCCGATTTTTTGCAACGTGAAAAGAGATCTTCCTCGGGATACCGTAATGTAATGTTACGGTAGTTATACCGAGATAGAGGTAAGGCACAGATTTTAGTTCAAGTTTTTCGCAGAGTGGTGCTGTTTTTGAAAATTCAAGTTTACTTTCACGAAAAATAGGGTGGGCAGGAGGCTGATGTCAGCCCATCAAAAATCATCGATTTTATTGATTTTTGGCATTGATAAAACTGAAATAAATCATATCTTGGTAATCAGCGCATTCGATAACCCTTATGGGGAAATTCTCGCAGACATATTTTGAATTTCTTCAAAAAGACTACCGTTTCAGACAATACGACCCACGGGTGGGTCGTAGGTTTGACAAAGCAAAAAAGGCTCTATCCGAAACGGCAGTAATCGAAAAATCGGTCTTGTCGTGAATGTGTTAAAAGCTTTCCATCTCAAAAAGCCAGCAAGTGGGGTGATAAGAACCTTAACACTGTGGTGAGAGCACCGCACACCCCACATGCAAAAAAACCTACACTTACTTGGCGAATGCTGCATGATATGATATAGAAAGTATACTATAATATATGACTCCCTCCACGATCAGAACAACAGCAGTTAGGTAGTTTTGCAACTTTCATACAGGAAACTGCTGTACGAAAAAAATTAGAAAAAAAAAAGGGGGGAGAGACAGTCTTGCTCAAGAAACTCGGGAACGACAGCTAAACGTAATACAAAACAGAATACATTATTCAAAAGCTGAGTTTTCTGTAGAGCTAGGAGGGAAAGTACGGCTGCGCCAATTGTAAAACCTGAGGGCGAAGTCAAAACTCTTTTGGCACTTTTGTTAAGGAACTTTTGGAAAACTTCGCACAAAGCAGGAAAGCTTTTTAACCCTTTGACTTTGATAACCTGCACTGCGGACTAGTTCTGAGGCAAGGTAACCACATCAAAAAGCTAGCGTTGGATAAAGGACCAATAAAACAGATAAGGGTAGACCCGTAGAAACCAGCAAGTGAAAAAGAAAAAAAATTAAAGACAGAAAGATACCCGCACCTTTCTTCTGTCTTTCTAAAGCTCCTGCTTGTCGGGCAAAGTAAGCTGCGACCAGCTGATTTTCCGGAGAAGCCTAAATAAGCAGAAATAGGTTTAAATAAATAAAAAAATAGAAGAAATGTACTACTTTCAGCGGAGGACTTTTCTTCTGCGACTCAGGTTTATCAACGCAATTCTGTAGTTCGTTTTCGCAAATATACTGCAAAAAGTTCACAAAAAAGCTTTCACCAAAAACAAAACCAATATATTCACCTCCTTCAACTGTTCCAGAAAAACAGATTTGTTCCAAGCTTTGGCAAACCACGTTTGTCCAGCTCATCTTTCAAATCTACGACTCTCAAAGTCGAGAGCGGAACGCATTTACCAAAGGGTCATCAACAGACATTTGCTTTGTACGCGCAGCTTTGAAGAATATTTGCGTCTGGAATCATATATTTGTGGAAGCACAGTCACAATGTAACAACTTGCAAAAGTGTAACTTGTAGACTATGAAAAGAGATGTTTCGCTAGAATATGCAAACATGATCATTTGCTACGAAGCTAAAAAGTCAGCAACCAGCCAGACAGTACAAAATAACAATTAAAGAGTTTTCAAATCAAAAGGAAGAGAAAAAAGCAACAAATGCTGGGAAGAATTGACCTATAAGTGCATTATTTCGAAATCTCCTCGCCCGTCGCGACAAAATCGCACCAAAACCGGGACGAAACTAAAATGATGACTCGCGCCGGTCCACCGGATTTTGGTGCGAACGCCCATTTTGTGGGCGGATCCCCTGCGCGACTCAACCGCGAGTGTCTGAGGTGTGTTGAAAGACGCAAGCGCGTGCAAGGGGGTGTTGAAATTGCGAGCTTGGTCATTGTTGCGAAGTTAGTTACAGAAGCATACCATTTGATCTGCTCACATCCGATTTCAGTATTCACTTTGCTTCCAATTTTCCGCCAAACTTTGAGAAAATATTCGAAAATCTCGCTTTCGGGAGCTTTTGCTCTGGGTGAATTCGATTTTTCTCTCCACATTGTAAGCGTGAGTGCGAGAGTGACGTTGCGAAAGGAAGCTGTAGAGCGAAGACTGGGGCAAAACAAAATTTTAGCACATATGATCCACTTTTCCGGCCAAATTTTGAGAAAATCTTCAAAAATCTCGCTTTTGCGAGCTTTTGCTCTGATTGAATTCGATTTTTCTCTCCAGTTTGTAAGCGTAAGTGCGAGAGTGACGTTGCGAAAGGAAGCTGTACAGCGATGACTGAGGCAAAACAAAATTTTAGCACATATGATCCACTTTTCCGGCCAAATTTTGAGAAAATCTTCGAAAATCTCGCTTTCGGGAGCTTTTGCTCTGGGTGAATTCGATTTTTCTCTCCACATTGTAAGCGTGAGTGGGAGAGTGACGTTGCGAAAGGAAGCTGTAGAGCGAAGACTGGGGCAAAACAAAATTTTAGCACATATGATCCACTTTTCCGGCCAAATTTTGAGAAAATCTTCAAAAATCTCGCTTTTGCGAGCTTTTGCTCTGATTGAATTCGATTTTTCTCTCCAGTTTGTAAGCGTAAGTGCGAGAGTGACGTTGCGAAAGGAAGCTGTACAGCGATGACTGGGGCAAAACAAAATTTTAGCACATATGATCCACTTTTCCGGCCAAATTTTGAGAAAATCTTCGAAAATCTCGCTTTCGGGAGCTTTTGCTCTGGGTGAATTCGATTTTTCTCTCCACATTGTAAGCGTGAGTGCGAGAGTGACGTTGCGAAAGGAAGCTGTAGAGCGAAGACTGGGGCAAAACAAAATTTTAGCACATATGATCCACTTTTCCGGCCAAATTTTGAGAAAATCTTCAAAAATCTCGCTTTTGCGAGCTTTTGCTCTGATTGAATTCGATTTTTCTCTCCAGTTTGTAAGCGTAAGTGCGAGAGGGACTTGCGAAAGGAAGCTGTACAGCGATGACTGGGGCAAACCAAAATTTTAGCACATATGATCCACTTTTCCGGCCAAATTTTGAGAAAATCTTCAAAAATCTCGATTTTGCGAGCTTTTGCTCTGGGTGAATTCGATTTTTCTCTCCAGTTTGTAAGCGTAAGTGCGAGAGTGACGTTGCGAAAGGAAGCTTTACAGCGATGACTGGGGCAAACCAAAATTTTAGCACATATGATCCACTTTTCCGGCCAATTTTTGAGAAAATCTTCAAATATCTCGCTTTTGCGAGCTTTTGCTCTGGGTGAATTCGATTTTTCTCTCCACATTGTAAACGTAAGTGCGAGAGTGACTTGCGAAAGGAAGCTTTACAGCGATGACTGGGGCAAACCAAAATTTTAGCACATATGATCCACTTTTCCGGCAAAATTTTGAGAAAATCTTCGAAAATCTCGCTTTCGGGAGCTTTTGCTCTGGGTGAATTCGATTTTTCTCTCCACATTGTAAGCGTGAGTGCGAGAGTGACGTTGCGAAAGGGAGCTGTACAGCGATGACTGGGGCAAACCAAAATTTTAGCACATATGATCCACTTTTCCGGCCAAATTTTGAGAAAATCTTCGAAAATCTCGCTTTCGGGAGCTTTTGCTCTGGGTGAATTCGATTTTTCTCTCCACATTGTAAGCGTGAGTGCGAGAGTGACGTTGCGAAAGGAAGCTGTAGAGCGAAGACTGGGGCAAAACAAAATTTTAGCACATATGATCCACTTTTCCGGCCAAATTTTGAGAAAATCTTCAAAAATCTCGCTTTTGCGAGCTTTTGCTCTGATTGAATTCGATTTTTCTCTCCAGTTTGTAAGCGTAAGTGCGAGAGGGACTTGCGAAAGGAAGCTGTACAGCGATGACTGGGGCAAACCAAAATTTTAGCACATATGATCCACTTTTCCGGCCAAATTTTGAGAAAATCTTCAAAAATCTCGATTTTGCGAGCTTTTGCTCTGGGTGAATTCGATTTTTCTCTCCAGTTTGTAAGCGTAAGTGCGAGAGTGACGTTGCGAAAGGAAGCTTTACAGCGATGACTGGGGCAAACCAAAATTTTAGCACATATGATCCACTTTTCCGGCCAATTTTTGAGAAAATCTTCAAATATCTCGCTTTTGCGAGCTTTTGCTCTGGGTGAATTCGATTTTTCTCTCCACATTGTAAACGTAAGTGCGAGAGTGACTTGCGAAAGGAAGCTTTACAGCGATGACTGGGGCAAACCAAAATTTTAGCACATATGATCCACTTTTCCGGCAAAATTTTGAGAAAATCTTCGAAAATCTCGCTTTCGGGAGCTTTTGCTCTGGGTGAATTCGATTTTTCTCTCCACATTGTAAGCGTGAGTGCGAGAGTGACGTTGCGAAAGGAAGCTGTACAGCGATGACTGAGGCAAAACAAAATTTTAGCACATATGATCCACTTTTCCGGCCAAATTTTGAGAAAATCTTCGAAAATCTCGCTTTCGGGAGCTTTTCCTCTGAGTGAATTCGATTTTTCTCTCCACATTGTAAGCGTGAGTGCGAGAGTGACGTTGCGAAAGGAAGCTGTAGAGCGAAGACTGGGGCAAACCAAAATTTCAGCACATATGATCCACTTTTCCGGCAAAATTTTGAGAAAATCTTCGAAAATCTCGCTTTCGGGAGCTTTTGCTCTGGGTGAATTCGATTTTTCTCTCCACATTGTAAGCGTGAGTGCGAGAGTGACGTTGCGAAAGGGAGCTGTACAGCGATGACTGGGGCAAACCAAAATTTTAGCACATATGATCCACTTTTCCGGCCAAATTTTGAGAAAATCTTCGAAAATCTCGCTTTCGGGAGCTTTTGCTCTGGGTGAATTCGATTTTTCTCTCCACATTGTAAGCGTGAGTGCGAGAGTGACGTTGCGAAAGGAAGCTGTAGAGCGAAGACTGGGGCAAAACAAAATTTTAGCACATATGATCCACTTTTCCGGCCAAATTTTGAGAAAATCTTCAAAAATCTCGCTTTTGCGAGCTTTTGCTCTGATTGAATTCGATTTTTCTCTCCAGTTTGTAAGCGTAAGTGCGAGAGGGACTTGCGAAAGGAAGCTGTACAGCGATGACTGGGGCAAACCAAAATTTTAGCACATATGATCCACTTTTCCGGCCAAATTTTGAGAAAATCTTCAAAAATCTCGATTTTGCGAGCTTTTGCTCTGGGTGAATTCGATTTTTCTCTCCAGTTTGTAAGCGTAAGTGCGAGAGTGACGTTGCGAAAGGAAGCTTTACAGCGATGACTGGGGCAAACCAAAATTTTAGCACATATGATCCACTTTTCCGGCCAATTTTTGAGAAAATCTTCAAATATCTCGCTTTTGCGAGCTTTTGCTCTGGGTGAATTCGATTTTTCTCTCCACATTGTAAACGTAAGTGCGAGAGTGACTTGCGAAAGGAAGCTTTACAGCGATGACTGGGGCAAACCAAAATTTTAGCACACATGATCCACTTTTCCGGCAAAATTTTGAGAAAATCTTCGAAAATCTCGCTTTCGGGAGCTTTTGCTCTGGGTGAATTCGATTTTTCTCTCCACATTGTAAGCGTGAGTGCGAGAGTGACGTTGCGAAAGGGAGCTGTACAGCGATGACTGGGGCAAACCAAAATTTTAGCACATATGATCCACTTTTCCGGCCAAATTTTGAGAAAATCTTCGAAAATCTCGCTTTCGGGAGCTTTTGCTCTGGGTGAATTCGATTTTTCTCTCCACATTGTAAGCGTGAGTGCGAGAGTGACGTTGCGAAAGGAAGCTGTAGAGCGAAGACTGGGGCAAAACAAAATTTTAGCACATATGATCCACTTTTCCGGCCAAATTTTGAGAAAATCTTCAAAAATCTCGCTTTTGCGAGCTTTTGCTCTGATTGAATTCGATTTTTCTCTCCAGTTTGTAAGCGTAAGTGCGAGAGTGACTTGCGAAAGGAAGCTGTAGAGCGAAGACTGGGGCAAAACAAAATTTTAGCACATATGATCCAAGTACTCTGCGTTGATACCACTGCTT